TCCTAGCTCGCATTGTGTTATTCAATCCGGACGTGATGATGGGTGGCAGAGGGATCCCAGCAAGACTCCTCTTCCACTGGCTTTGACTCCCTTTAACATTTTTACAACTCTTTGCAATCTTAACAGGTTGCATCCTTTAGGTTTTTATTTTACTTGGGCATAATGCGTTTAATCACTGTGTTGTCATGTCCTGTGTGACCTGGATGTTGTGCTATCTATTAGGCTCTCACCTAATAGATAGTATTCTTGCTTGCACATTTCATCATGGAATACTTGTTGTATTATGGACGGTATTCATCAGTCTAGAATTAGTTATGCATTACAAACATATAATTAATTTTAGGTTAGGCCACAATGATCTAGCTACATTTGTGTCATGAAACCCTCCACTACCCGACAGAGCCAAACAATAACATCGTCGTGCATACAAACGCTCAACGTGCCAGCTCTTACTATTTCAGCTCACCAGTAGGAGAACAATTCTCACAGTCAAATTGCGCAAGCCTGAATCCTGACTTCCTGATCTCTGACGTGGATATGCTAAATGCAGTTTTAAGCGAAAAGGAATTCAATTTGCGGCGAGGGAACTCTGTGCAGGCAGGAAGAGTTTTGTAAGCGTGTGGCTCATCCCACACCCACAGAGAAAGTACTTCATCGCGATGCGTGTGGCTGACGGAAGGCAGCTTTAATCGAGAGACCACTGTGAAGGGTCATTGCACACAGGCCGTATTTATTCTGGTTAATTAATAACCTGCTTATTATTTCGCAACACGGTTGGCTTCATACGGAGTACGGTGCGAAATCAGTTCTACGTACGGTGAGGGAAAACAATATTTGGTCCCCTGCTAATTTTGTACGTTTGCCCACTGACAAAGAAATGATGAGTCTATAATTTTAATGGTAGGTATATTTGAACAGTGAGAGACAGAATAACAACAAAAACATCCAGAAAAACACATGTCAAAAATGTTAGAAATTGATTTGCATTTTAATGAGGGAAATACGTATTTGACCCCTCTGCAAAACATGACTTAGTACTTGGTGGCAAAAACCTTGTTGGAAATCACAGAGGTCAGACGTTTCTTGTAGTTGGCCACCAGGTTTGCACACATCTCAGGAGGGATTTTGTCCCACTACTCTTTGCAGATCTTCTCCCAAGTCATTAAGGTTTCGAGGCTGACGTTTGGCAACTCGAACCTTCAGCTCCCTCCACAGATTTTCTATGGGATTAAGGGCTGGAGATTGGCTAGGCCACTCCAGGACCTTAATGTGCTTCTTCTTGAGCCACTCCTTTGTTGCCTTGGCCGTGTGTTTTGGGTGATTGTCATGCTGGAATACCCATCCACGACCCATTTTCAATGCCCTGGCTGAGGGAAGGAGGTTCTCACCCAAGATTTGACGGTACATGGCCCCGTCCATCGTCCCTTTGATGCGGTGAAGTTGTCCTGTCCCCTTAGCAGAAAAACACCCCCAAAGCATGTTTCCACTTCCATGTTTGACGGTGGGGATTGTGTTCTTGGGGTCATAGGCAGCATTCCTCCTCCTCCAAACACGGCGAGTTGAGTTGATGCCAAAGAGCTCCATTTTGGTCTCATCTGACCACAACACTTTCACCCATTTGTCCTCTGAACCATTCAGATGTTCATTGGCAAACTTCAGACGGGCATGTATATGTGCTTTCTTGAGCAGGGGGACCTTGCGGGCGCTGCAGGATTTCAGTCCTTAACGGCGTAGTGTGTTACCAATTGTTTTCTTGGTGACTATGGTACCAGCTGCCTTGAGATCATTGACAAGATCCTCCCGTGTAGTTCTGGGCTGATTCCTCACCGTTCTCATGATCATTGCAACTCCACGAGGTGAGATCCTGCATGGAGCCCCAGACCAAGGAAGATTGACAGTTCTTTTGTGTTTCTTCCATTTGCGAATAATCGCACCAACTGTTGTCACCTTCTCACCAGCTGCTTGGCAATGGTCTTGTAGCCCATTCCAGCCTTGTGTAGGTCAACAATCTTATCCCTGACATCCTGGGATAGCTCTTTGGTCTTGGCCATGGTGGAGAGTTTGGAATCTGATTGATTGCTTCTGTGGACAGGTGCCTTTTATACAGGTAACAACCTGAGATTAGGAGCACTCCCTTTAAGAGTGTGCTCCTAATCTCAGCTCGTTACCTGTATAAAAGATATCTGGGAGCCAGAAATCTTTCTGATTGAGAGGGGGTCAAATACTTATTTCCCTCATTAAAATGAAAATAAATGTATAACATTTTTGACATGCTTTTTTCTGGATTTTGTTGTTATTCTGTCTCTCACTGTTCAAATAAACCTACCATTAAAATTATAGACTGATCATTTCTTTGTCAGTGGGCAAACGTACAAAATCAGCAGGGGATCAAATACTTTTTTCCCTCACTGTACATACATTATTGTAAGTAGCCTGATGGAAGCTGAACTGAAAAAATATTTTTATGTACACACGGTTACTGTTTATGAAAATATGAAGGACATGACTGGTGATTCTTATATTTAGCCAAAAGCATGTAAAGAGCATTCGTGCCATACGCAGGAAATCACACATACAGTATCAATTGGATTAATGATATAGGAATGGAAATAGGGGAACTATGTGAAAATACATTCGGGTTAAGTTGTTACTTGTGTCAGTTGTAATGTGTGCATTAGCATTACATTATTTACAATTTTCCAACTGATGTGTTGACTGCAAACACGTTTAGACAAGACAATGTAATAAATCGCATCCTTGCAGAGACTATACCACAAGAAATAAGCAGACATTACGTCTCCTTCCCAATTATGTCTCTCCACGTAAAAATAAAAGTATTTTTGATAAATCCCATCGGCCACAGGGCTTCCTGGTAGTGCATAATGGCAGCAGCTTTGGTTCAACACAAACTGTGCACCGGTTCCTCGACATTGCCTGTTTCACCAGTTGTGAAGGGGACGAGAGAGGTTGGGAGATTACACCGCAGCTAGAGAAGAGCACAGGGCATCTGTTTTGAAGACGTTGATGTACAGGGCTGCAGACACAAGTGCAAATCTCAATGTGGGGTTGGTGTGAACCTCTAGCAAAAGGCAAAACATTCGAGAGACCGGCTTGGGACAGTGAAATTTCTTGGCAAATGCACGTGGAGGAAACGGTGGAGGAATTGATGGAGGACATGCACATGCTAAAAAACAAAAACGTATTTACCGCCTACAAAGGATGAGGCAGTAAGAGGCTTTCCAAGAATAAAGGTGTTAGAGAAGGGGGGATGGGCTTGCAGGATTGAGCGTCTCATCAGCAGACAGGAACCGCAAGGCTCGGCGGAATAATGGATGAATGCTAGGGAGCAGGGGCAACATAATTGACAATAGATAGATAGAAAACACGGAGGAGCTGGAGAAGAGCATAAGCCCCGAGAAGAGTTGGAAACAGCAGTAAAACTGCTAAACTATGGCGACGCATACAGCAAGAGTGTAGAATTACTGCTGAGATGTTGACATAGGGCATTCAACATATGCTGGCGGAACTGAATAAATTATAGATATACGGGTTAAGAAACCATAGACAGAACTGGAAAAGGCTATCATTGTAGCATTATATTAGATAAGGGCATGTAACAATGTGGAATCTCGAGAAGAGATACGTTTATCGAGACTTCCGTTGAAGACGTTCGTGAGAGTTTTGCTATAAATGGGGCAAACGAGCAGAGAGATGTGTGCTTGACCGAAACCAGTGTGGGGTTAGAGCGGCAAGGGATTCCAGTGACAAACACTTTTACGTCAAATAGATAATTGATAAGACATGGGCATATGCTACTTTAGTCACTGGGAATATTGGAACTGTGGTGACATTGCCGTAAATATTCTGGCAAAGGCAAAATCTAGTTAATCCTCGGTGGTGAAACCCTTTCTGCGTTAGGGACGGGCACGTGAAATTGATCGCCATGCCCAACTTGGGTTTAATTACGTGGCCATGCCCCCAGTTTATAGTATCTCCTCTCGTGAATTGTGAAACAAGTTTTTGATATTTTTTGTGTCGGGCTCCACCCCGGCTCCGGCCTGAACGTTGTCACTCGGGAACATTGCTGCGTGTGGACTGGGAGCTGTCGGAGTGCAGCGAGCCTGCTGCGGTGCATTGCAACTTGTGAATCTACAATGCATTTCTACAAACCCGGGCAGTGCAGAATAATGGCAAAGTAGCCTCGTGAATTTGTGCCCCCAAATGCGTTTCTGTCTTTTACTTCTTCAATGAATGTTGTATTAAAGAATGCAATAGTGTCCAAGTGTGAGTGAAAAACAAAGTTATTTGTGTACAATAAATTACTTTAAACATATTCTTGGTTCTTTCAGTAAAGTCACGTAGAAGGGAAACAATAAAATAATAAAAATATAAAACAATAAAATTATCACGACGTTTCGACGGCAACACAAGCAATCATCATCAGGTGTAAAAACCACAGCAAGAAAATTTGAAAAAAGTGGCGGTTATTTTTAACGTTAGCACCACGGAGAGCGATTTGACAGTTTGTTCAGATGGACGAGTCCATCTATGTGAGGCTTACACATTTCACAAGTTCTTGTTAAAACTATTTCCATAATTCAATGCAGAATAAACACCTCATCTAAGACACAAACATCGCACATCCTGACTTTGACATTCCTCCTCGAAGACACCGGTGGTAGAACCATCAACCGCATCAGAACATCAACAGGGCGATGTGCAACATCTCCTTCATGAATGGAAAATGACAGACACTGTGGCCATGAACCCAAACTGTAGACCACGTAATAAACCACTGCTCTCCTTCAATGGAGGACGAACAGCAAAATGACAGCCCTCTTTCGGCTATCAGACCTCCACGTTGGCATTTAGCTCCTGAAAGTATTGCCATCATACGCAAGAATAGAATAGCGTGCATAATAATTTTAATCGTCTCATTTCTGCCAGGATAATTATTTAGCGGGTTTGCTAATTATGTTCAATCTGTTTTTGTTTTGCAGTTAACTTTGACCACTTTCAGATTCTCCGGGCAATTGGAAAGGGCAGCTTTGGCAAGGTAAGTGGTGAGCCACCAACACACGTGATTCAAACACCTATCTCACCGGTGTCCTGTATAATTTATATTTGTATGTGGTTGGAAGTGAGAATACTTTGCGTACAGTATTTAGCTATCAATGCACGTGTCTATGAGAAGTAAAGTGTATTTTGTTTACCCAGTTGAGAACTCAAGAGACTAAGTCTCTGCTGGCAAGGGACAGGTAGAGTTTCTAATTTTGGTTCTCTAAATTCAGTTACTGAGCAGAGGCCCGAAGGCCCAACAAATACAGTAGTCCAGCAACAAACAGCACTATCACATTATTTGGGTCTTTCGGTAAAGTCACATAGATAGGTTCAAAAAAAATACCAAAAAACTAAATGGCTGAGAAATGTAACCTGTTAATGTAACATCAGAGAGCCGCATACAACAACTCACATCGGAAGGTGGGATGGAAATATCAGAGCCAGTGATGTTTCCATCCTACTGGCCGACTGGCTGTGATGTTTCCATCCTACTTTCCGATGTTAGTTGTTGTATGCGGCTCTCTGATGTTACATTAACAGGTTACATTTCTCAAGCACCTCGTGCGTCGACGTGGCTGCGGCTCTGCGATCAGCCTGATGACGAACACTTGCGTTGCGATCGAAACGTCGTCGTTTTTTGTTATTTTCTTTGAACCTATCTACGTGACTTTTCCGAAAGACCCAAAGAATATGAATTCCTGCAGTCACGAAAGCTTTAAGTCAAGATTTAGCACTATCACGGTTGGAAGAGATAAGAGTTGCACTGAGCAGGGTTGTTAGAAGAGCTTGAGAAAAGAGACCGTGGAGGGAACTCCTAAATCGAGCATTGTGGGGGGAAGCAGCGGAGAGGGGTTGCGTGTTGAGGAACGGTGGCATCAACGGTCATAGTCCATGGTGACCTCTTGACTTCATCATTATCTTGCAGTGACAGCCTCTTAAGTAAGTAATGTGAACGGGTGTGTGGAGTCGGCTATTTGGAAAGATTCCTAAGCTTCGGATGCCGAGTGTGCGTGCTTAATCTGTAACGTGGGCGGCATGTTTAGTCTCTACCGCAAGAGACACGCCAGTGTTTTGCAAGATCTGGCTTGTGAATAAACTTTCCCGTATTCACTTATCATTGGAGTTTTATCAGGTGAGTGTAAGTTTAGTGTTGGATATTCTAAATCATAAACTGTTATGAATAATGCACGCATATTTTCTTCACGATGGCAATACAAAGCTGCATTGGGAAGTCGTAATTAAACGTGAATGAGCCGTGAATGTACTCTCTGACTTGTTAAAGTAAGTGCCGTGTTGTTATTCTTCTCGGGGCGGGGGGTTGAGGCGGCGCTGCGAGAGTGCAGGGTGCAGAGTGCAGGGTGCAGTATGCAGGGTGCAGAGTGCAGGATGCAGGGTGCAGGGTACAGGGTGCAGAGTTCAGGGTGCAGAGTGCAGGAGGCAGAGTGCAGGGTGCAGAGTGCAGGGTGCAGAATGCAGGATGCAGGGTGCAGGATGCAGGGTGCAGAGTGCAGGAGGCAGAGTGCAGAGTGCAGGGTGCAGGGTGCGTGGTGCAGAGTGCAGGATGCAGAGTGCAGGGTGCAGAGTGCAGGATGCAGGGTGCAGAGTGCAGAGTGCAGAGTTCAGGGTGCAGAGTGCGTGGTGCACGGTGCAGGGTGCAGAGTGTAGAGTGCAGGGTGCAGAGTGCAGCATGCAGAGTGCAGGGTGCAGGGTGCGTGGTGCAGGGTGCAGCATGCAGGGTGCAGGGTGCGTGGTGGAGGGTGCAGGGTGCAGGATGCAGGGTGCAGTATGCAGAGTGCAGGGTGCAGGATGCAGGGTGCAGAGTGCAGGATGCAGGGTGCGTGGTGCAGGGTGCAGGATGCAGGGTGCAGGATGCAGAGTGCAGGGTGCAGAGTGCAGGATGCAGGGTGCAGCTCGCCGTGGACACATTCCCTCCTCCGTGGGAGAGAAGTTCGCGTAACAGACGCACACAGGAGCATGGGGCTCCTTCACTGCAGTCTGTTGTTGACTTTCACTCAGGGGCTGTTGAGAGGACAAGGCCGTCTCGAGAGTGGGGCTCGCTCGTGTTGTTATTATTATCGTGTTATTATTATCGTCTTATTATTATCGTGTTATTATTATCGTGTTATTATTATCGTGTTATTATTATCCTCTTATCATCGTGTTATTATTATCGTGTTATTATTATCGTGTTATTATTATCGTGTTATTATCGTGTTATTATTATCGTCTTATTATCGTGTTATTATTATCGCGTTATTATTGTGTTATTATTATTATTATCGTGTTATTATTATCGTCTTATTATTATCGTGTTATTATTATCGTCTTATTATCGTGCTATTATTATCGTGTTATTATTATCGTCTTATTATTATCGTGTTATTATTATCGTCTTATTATTATCGTGTTATTATTGTGTTATTATTATCGTGTTATTATTCTCGCGTTATTATTGTGTTATTATTCTCGTGTTATTATTCTTGTGTTATTATTATCGTGTTATTATTCTCGTGTTATTATTCTCGTGTTATTATTCTCGTGTTATTATTCTCGTGTTATTATTCTCGTGTTATTATTCTCGTGTTATTATTATCGTGTTATTATTCACGTGTTACTATTCTCGTGTTATTATTCACGTGTTATTATTCTCGTATTATTATTGTGTTATTATTCTCGCGTTATTATCGTGTTACTATTCTCGCCTTATTATTATCGCGTTATTATCGTCTTATTATTCTCGTGTTATTCACGTGTTATTATTCACGTGTTACTATTCTCGTGTTACTATTCTCGTGTTACTATTCTCGCGTTATTATTCTAAGTCACTGTAGAGGAGTTTCACGACGCTCCCTCTCCTCCACCTCCTGATCCCCGCCAGGCTCTGTGAGGACTTGTGAGTCTCCTCGTGAGCACGGCGCTGTCCTCTTCAGCTCCCCTTCTCTCTCGCGTGCCTCATCACGGCTCGGCCAGTGTGACCTGATGTTGCGAGATGGCATACGCTGTTTAATTTATAATGCCGTGTTTTGGGCTAATCCACGGGAAAAATTGATCTGCCAGTTGGCATCGCGAGGCATGTGCGGCGTGATCAAACACTCTCCAGCCCGCACGTGGGCTCGTCTCTCTTCTCCATCAACACCGGCCCGTGTCCTCCCTTTAATAAATATTTATTTTAGTGCGCTATCAACCTTTTATTTGTGTGCGTGTGATTCCAAATTACAGTATTGATCGAAACATAAGCGGTCTGAATTGTGTTTTTGTATTTTGTAATGTAATAATTATTGAAAATGACCTCTTTCAGAATTTATATTTTTTTGCATTAAATGATCATTTTAGTTAAATGTAACACAGGATTTTAAAACTATGTCATGTGGTTAACTAAAACAGGAATTAAGACAATGTTTGGCTTGCAGATAGAGCACTCTAGAGATGCCCCGGTGTAAATGGTGCCATATGAAAACCGAAACATTAAATAGTATTATTAATTTAAACAGTACTTTAGCAGCAAGGCTGCTTCTACAGATGGTGGTTTTCACTGCATCGATTTTTAGCAGATTATCGTTACCAACAAGTCTTACTATGATGAGTAAAATCTAAAAAGAGCATTTCTTTTATGAACATTAAATATCACGTGCTATGAAGAAGGGCCATAGCCCAAACATTTGCCCGATTTATGTTTGCTTTGAAGACCACACAGTTAATTGACAAATGTATTGAATTTTATAATATGGATTACTTAATGAAGCAATTCTTTTCATATTTCCCCCCTGAAGTTTATGGGAACAGAAATTTACGTGATGAAAGATGCCCCCATATATGTAAAGTATTACATTTTATAAACCTTTAATCAAATATTCCAATGCCAAATGTCAAAAAATAATTGGCCGATGCAGCGGCTATTTGTGTGACGTGTAATGGTTAATGACCGATTAAAAAAAAAATGTTCTAACGACGTATTCAAATCTCTTAAGTGAACTCCACGCGCTATGGTGCCTGCCCTGACGTTCTCGTTCCCCGCCTGAGTTCGCAGACATCCGCTGCTGCTTCGTCCGCGCCCGGCATTTTTACTCGCCCAGCGCGCTTTCCACTCGCCCGTGACTGCGCCCGCACGCGTTTGCTCCTTCCATTCGTGCCCCCCACCACCACCACCACCCCTCTCTATCTTTGCCTTGCATGTGGCCTCCTCGTGCGGTAATCAATCCGTGAATCAGCCGCGTGCATCGCAACGGCGGCAGCGGGGCGCTCTGCACTCTGCTTGATGCGCACGCGATCCCCAAACAAGCCGACATCCAATAGCTCATTACCACACATTACCGCACATTACCGGTCCGTTACACGACAAACAAGGGAGCCACGGCTGATCGGCTCGCTTTCCGTTGTGGGAGTCGCGTGGCTTTCAAGCGACCTGATAGGTGACACCTCCCCCCCCCCCACGTTGTGGGGCTAGGCTGGGACGGCTTCCATTTGGCCTTTTAGCGTCCACGCTCTGCCTATCGCGTTTCTGCCCAGCTGAATAGATCATGTGATGCCTCCCGTCAGAACAAATGCCACAAAAGCAAGTGATTCATTGTGATTAAATGAGACTGCTGCTTTAAATAGGATTAAATTACAGTTTTCAGACTTCTTAGCTCTTAGTTGCAACTGGCCCATTCCTCATCAACACTTGTGTTTTTTTAAATATTTGTGTTTTTAAAAATATTTTACTAACCAGAGTTATATTTGGAACGGTCCAAAATATGACTTTTAATTTCAGTCAATGAATAATATTTATGTCACTCAGAAAATATATTGGTGCTTCTTATTACGTAGGACAATTTAAATACAATGAGAACCCACGTACAGTGCAAACTTTGTATGCTTGAATTGCAATAACGTGAATTCTCTACGGGTCGACTTATCCATGATTATTCAAGATAACTTAACGTGTAGGTTTGTATCTAATTTCTAAATATGGTTGTGAGAATTCTTCAACGTACTGGTCAGCTGAAACAATAATTA